CATGTTTCTCCTCTCCAGCCCTTTTTATCTTCTTTGCTCCTTCTCTGTAGACACTCTTTGGTTTCTATAGTTTTTCATGCACAGTGCTCTGTGCAATATTAAAAGGACTCCGTTTGGACTGCAGCAAGTTAGATATTTATTCAAAGTTCTACCTGCTCAGTACTGCTGCTTTCAATTTTGAGGTGTATTGTGAGTGCCAAGCTATTGCAAAATTCTCCAAGCACATTGAGCCTTCTGATTTCACCCTCCAAATCATCCTCCCTAACTTGTGTTCCAACCCACAGAAACTACAAGTTGTTATATCTACATCCTTTCTGAAATGCAGTGCCCAAAACTGGATACAGTACTTCAGCCAAAGACTAAATAGTACTGAATAGAGTGGTACTATCACTGTCTTGTGTTACACCTTCTGTTTCTACAGATCCCTTTTCTTTCTTTTCCAACAGTATCATGTTGCTGGCTGATGCTAAATTTGTGATCTACTATATTCCCTTGATCCTTCTTAGCAGTAATAGTGTCAAACCTGTTATTCCTTCAATATGGATGAGTGCTTTTGCTTTTTTGTTCAAATAAATCACACCTTTCCTTTGTGGAATTTAATTTTGTCACCTATTGCCAAGATTTTCAATTTATCAATATCCTTTGAATGTTAATCCTGTCTTCCAAAGTGTTGGCAACCCCTCCCAGTTTTGTGTCATCTGCTATTTCATGAGTGTATATTTATCCTAAATTATATTTTCAATATGAGCTATGAATGATTGACCACCCTTCCCATGGACTTGATAAATTACCTTTTACTTCAAGTAGTCAATTTTAGCAGAAACAATACTATCTTGCTTATTACCTTCCACATGAACACTAAAGGCTTGAGCTTCCCTAATCTCAAATATTCACTACTATAAATGGTGCAATTTATGTACAATGTATTTTCTACATACATCCCAGAAAACAAGTCTTATACTAACCACTGCATCCACTTTCATTGTTAATATTTTGTTTAACCTATATGTATTGTTGTAACACCCAAAGGTCTTAATTAAATGTGGAGCCCAAATGTGCCTGGAATTTTTATAAGTAAGCAAGAAAACATAGTTCTTCCTCTGAACACCTTAAGTTGGAAACCCAAATCACCTCATCTATCTTTCTTAAATAAGTTGGAAATTCCATTAAATTTTCTCTCATTTTGAGTCAGAGACCTCATCAAACACATTCATCCAAGTTATCCAACACACATAAGTCATGAGCCTCACTACATACTTCTTTTATTAATTCAGGTTTGTGTAACTATGAGATAGGCTTATTCACCTTAGAGAACAGAATGAAGTGTATTTTTCTTCAAATTGTATTGCAGTCAATGTTCTCCAAAGTTGTTATGTTACAGTTTCTCATTAGTGCAATGGTAAGCAGGTATCCGGAAACAGAGATAAGGTTAGTTTAGAATAGACAGTATTATATATACATGTGTGTAACACCCACACACACTTGGGTTATGTACAGCAAAGCATGTGCTTTTGGTTGTTGTGTATTGTAGTTTTGTGTGTGTGTGTGTGTGCATGTTTTATGTGGGCAACATGACCCCTGTTCTGGCCATGTGCTCTGCACATGGAAAGCTGGGGCTTTGCATCTGGGCAAAATATGTCTCCATCACCGTGCCCTTAGATCCCATCTTCGTCGCCATGTTTTGGACGGCCAGAGCCGACTCGAGGTGATTTAGAAATTGCTCGTTTGTCAGGGCGGGCTGGTGAATGGAGAGGCAGACAAGGTTTAATGGTTGCAAAAACATTTACTTACGCCGCTTGTAGTTGCGACGCAGGTGGTCCGGTCGTCTGAACAACTATGAGAGTTGTTCCAGCTGGCGAGGCCCAAGCCAGTTAATCCGTTCGCAAATTGATCCGGCGGGAAAAGGGTACGTCTGGGATTGCGCTCGGCGACGGGAAGAAGGATCGATAGGTGATCAGTCTATCGATCAGCTAGCCGCCAGTCAGATCTCTTTAGAGGCACTCTGCAGCGTGCTCAAAGTTCTTCGACTTGGGCGGATGTCGCACGAGATTTTAAACGGCTAGCAAGCCAATCACTAGCCGCCACGTGTGAATAATTTAGAACTAGCCAATAGCAGGACACAAATTTGCATTCAAATAGCGGGAACTCTTTGCACCGTGCATTTCTGTGCTGCAAAGAAGAAATGCACCCTGCAAATTGGCGGGAACTCTCTTGCACCGAGGTTCTTCTGCGCAGCAAAAACCCTCGCTGTGCAAGAGGCTCTCATGTGGCAAGAAAATTCCATCGTGCCGAGGCACCAAAATCATTGGGTTGTGACAGCAAAAAGGAAAAGCCAAGCTTGGATTCTTTAACCCAGCTATTAAAACAAAGAAAAGAATAAACTTCTTAGAAAGAATGAAACAGAGGAAGACACAGACAGATAAATGGCAAGATAAACAAGAGTTTCCAGTAATGAAGACTGAGCACAGAGTGGCATTTCAGGAAAATAACACACTTGAAATTGTCCTCTATCTTGTAGGACAAGAAAATTTGATTTAGAATAAACTGCTAATAACAGAATTATGTATGAGAATCTAAACTTTTATACTCTTATTTTTTATAAAGAGTTTACAGAAATTTAACATAAACCAAATGCAACAGTTGCCTGCCTGCATCTGTACATGGCATGCAATAGTAGTTTCAACAATACAGGATTTCCACATTCACCTCAATGAGATATTAAACTGAAATGTCAACATTAAATGGGATCTTCAAAGGGGCTCATGCAATTATTCTCACTAAACTTCAGTTGTACAATTCTTTGCATGTCAGTGAAAGTACTACCAGTATTAACTGTTACACTGCTTATCTTTTTAGAAAGAACATCAAACTAATATATTTATACCACAATCCCAAACTGTTTCTGCTGATCCATAGATACTAAAACCTCCGATTTCCCTTTCCCTTGTTGATCTCAGGTACTTATATAGCTCATATCAGATGAGTGGCTAGTTAGCCTAATAAAAGATATCACATCTACCCAAAGAATCTTGCCTCACAATCTTTCAAGTATTTATGAGGCAAGGAAGTATTGTTACCCGTTTCACAAATAGGAAACTGAGGCGGAGAAGCTAGTATGACTTTAAAAAGATCACGCAGAAAATCTATTGCAAAGCAGAGATCTGAACCCACAATACCAGAGTTGCAAGCTGATGCCATGGAACCAAGATTAACGCCAGTGGCTACTGTACCAATTATATTACTGATATTTAGCTCAATACCCTACTTTTTAATTTAAATGAAGCCATTTCAGAATTTCCAGTTTATTGTACCACAGTGCAAAGACTATAGGGAGCTTGCTTCAAAACATATGTCCACTTGCTATTCCCATTACACAGACACTCAGTAATACCCACTCAGCCAGCCATTGATGCAGGAGAAAATTCACACTGACAGTAAAACTGACTTGAATTTTTAAAGAGGGTGGGAGACCTAATAATCTGAAAAGAAAAGAGACTGCCTCCAAGTAAAAAGCAAAACTATTATACCCAACAATTAAAGTGATAATAGTGTCTCAGAATGATTTTCAAATTGTGGTTCAGGGAACACTTGCTAGCAGCCTGCAGAGCTGAATGAACACATGGCAACAACTCTCATACTCAAACTAGCTGTTTTATTATGACCGTAAGTGGAAAGAAGAACCTAGAAACAAAGGAATGAATCTGGCTAATGGTGCCCACTAGCAGGACAGGAACTCTCAGGAGCTCCATCAGGGAATGAGACAAATCAGGGGAAGAAAGTGGAATAGAAACACATACAAGGTAAGAGAAAACAAAGGGAGACAAAGGCACAGGAAAAAGATAAAGAATATCAACTCATGGCCTCTCTCCATGGCCAAGACTGTCCCCAACTCCCTGGTCCTTTTGGAGGGCCATTTTATCCTCTGACATTTGGAAAAAACAAAATATCAAATAAAACCATTCCTCTGTCCACTCTGGGGTACCAGTGCCAGAAGCTCCTTCTCTTCTATCCTCCTGTTCCTGAGTCTACTTCAGGAACTTGTCCCTCTCCCGGGTCTTCTCTAACAGCCTGTTATGGAAAATGCTGAACCAACAGTGAGGTCTGTTAGTTAAGCTTTACTGACACTCCCTCTCAGCCTTAAAAGGGGAAAGCCATGTTGTTACAGGATCTGAGCTAATTGGACTGCAGAGTTTAAAGTGAAAACTAAAAGCAAACAGTGGAATTACACACATATAGGGCTAGTAAAACTGCTTGAAAAAAACAATTTACTGTAGAGTATTATAAAATACTACTCCTTCAGTTATTTGAGGGTTTTTTGCTAAACTGCATAGTAATCACATTATAAGTAACATCTTTGTATACATGAAGACTTCTAAAAAAAAAAAAATAAAAAAATTCTGGTATAAGGAAAGCATGGCAGCAATATTTACTTAACAGTATAGCAGGGGTGTCAAACTCACTTGGGGCCCAGGGCAGAACCTGGACCACAAAGCTTCTCACAGGCTGGATCCAGCCTAGGGCAGAGGCGGCTGCTGCAGCTGCTGCGGTGATGGCAGGCCCAGTGGTAGCATGTGGTCCAGCAGCTGTGAGGGGCCTGAAGGCCTGCCACCACTGATGGCCACAGCCAGCAGGGCCAGAGAGCCCTGCCTTCTGCAGAGGCTATAGCACAGAACTTTCTGTAGCCTGACAGATTCAGATCTGGCTCATGGAGCATCTCTGTGTAACTACAGGAATTATAGTCACAACACATACATACACAGCAGTAATACAATGCTGTCCAAACAAATCCATTCTAGAGGGGTGTTTCTAGAAGTTAAATATTCCCTGTTAGACACTTGGGTGTTCTATTAACACAGACATTACCAATGAACAATTCTAGCTGCTCATATTAATTTTGCTTTAAACCTATATTAGGTTTTTTCCCTGAAATCCTGTACAAACCCACATTTATCAACTGGGCAGACAAAAATGAAAAGCATTCAACAAGTGACTTTCCTTACCTTCAAAACAGCAATAAATGGTACAAAGTTGGCTCTCTGAAGCCCATTTTTATAGAGGTCTGAAAGAGAAAACATGCATTAGCTTTGTCACTTACTCTTCACATTAATGTCAGCTTGTCTTTTAGTCTGGTAAGTGAAGCTCCATGCCGATGGAGAGATAAAGGAAGAGAAAAGAAATAAAGGAAGCTAAAATTGACTTCTATTCTTTTGCTGTATGAAATTCATTATGTTCTTAAAAAAATAAGACAGACAAATGGAATTCAGTATAATTAGATTTCAATCTCTAATGAGAAATAAATTAATTTTGGCAAAAAAGAGGTATAGAAAAGCCTCTGAATAAATAAGCACATAAAGAACTGGAAATATTGATAATCAGTCAGTGCAGCTATTCAGACAAACTATATACATGCTTAGTTTTAAAGGTTTGGAAAAGGATTTGTATTACAAATGAAATACTATAATGCCAAGTTTCAGTGTTGATGCTGTAATTCTATTTATTGGGATTACTTTTCTATCTTCTAGTAATTCTAAACACATCTATTATTTTTCAAGTCAAGGAAATGTGATTTTTACATAAATAAAATTACAAAGTACATAATCCTTCAAATTTTCACTAAATACTGCAAAAATTAAAATATTTTATAATGCAATATATATCTGCATTTTGAGAGAATATATAAAATAATAAATATAATCAGTTAAACAGCATTATATAACTTTAACTAAAATGCCTTTTCTGGAAAAATCACTACAGGGAGAGAATAAATATTTTATTATAGTGAAGTTTTCACTTTAAAAGCTGTACTATGTATTACTAAGAATGAGCTATTCCATTTTATTAATATTGTTGCCATCTTTTTGCAAGGACCCAACACCTGTTAACAGGGCAAGTCAATAGAAAAAAACAGGCACCAGTCACAAACTTCCACTAAAGGATGAGACTACATTAGATTTTTATTCAAGTGTATGTTGCAGTCATGCTTATGGGTTACAGCCAGGTTGGGCTTCGTTGTTTTATGAGATGTACTAACGTGTAATGGTACAGACACAAGGTGGCATGCCCGAACAATCAGCAGGGTAGCAAATTCTGCATCCTAGTAAACAGCAAATTTTGTATACAGACCTAAAAGTGAAAATGGTACATGGCTAACAATTATGTCAATGCATAATTTTAAATAATAAGAAACAAGTGAGTGCAAGCTTACTTGGGAAAACCAGTGAATATTAAAAACGGCTTTCCATCTAGTAGTATTTTAAACATGCTGTTTGAGTATGATAAACCTACCTGTACTAGCTCCTCTAGTTAATGAGCACTAGTTGCCTTGTTTTCACTCTACTATTTTTCTATTTTGGGAGAGCAAGGCAGGTGTGGGAAATGGAGGTTTTTGGAATCCCAGCTTTACTCTTCCCCCAGTGTACATTCAGTGTTTCCCCCTCACACTCCAGAACAGCAGTTTGTGTAACTTTATTAACTGTGGCACTTAGCCAATCAACAGGGTCAGTTTTCCCTTTAGCTAAGGTGCCACCTTGTGTTTCTGTATCCATAAGGAGGGGAAAAGAAATGCAAAACTACTAAACTTTGGTACTTTAATGAGAATAATGCAGTGTATTAATGCCACACTACATCATGGACAAGGATTTTATTTCAGACGTGTCTTTAGATGGCAGGATTGATTCCATGTACAGAGAAGGAAGGGGTGCTATGGTTTGCCCCATCTAATAGCACCACAACTCCCCACCATGATCATAATCCTTACTGGAAACTGCAAGTGCAAACTAAATATACCCCATGCAGTTGCAGATTCTTTGTGGCCTTCTATACCACTGAAGAAATGTACAAAAGCAGATAAATGACAGAACCCAAGCAGTTGTTCAGATTTATTTAAAAGGATAAAGAGGTGGGACCAAAGCCAAACTCACTATTTCATCACCCCTGAATTTAGATTGTTTAAAGCTATGCTCTTAAAAATGACTCCCGAAACTGAACTAGTGCATGATTCTTTTTGTGTACATCTCAAGTTGCGTTAATTATTCCCTTGCTATAATTCATAATTGGTCAAGCAAGGAACAAGCAAATGCTATGCAACATTCCAATTATAACATTTAAACACTATTTTGCCTCATTCAAATATAGAATTTTTCTCTTTAAGTCCAAAAACTTTGGCAATTCTCTTATAAGAAAACAGAATTTTTAAAGCCTTTTGCTGTCACTTGAATAAAAAAAAAATTAAATTAATTAAAAAACAGTGCTAAACAATTCAAAACTTATGTTATTAACACTGTGGTTTTAAAAGTGTCATTTAGCAACAAAAATAAGATTCCCTTATCTTACCTGAATAAATCTTCCCAGATTCTGAGGTTTAACTGTGTTCATAAACAGGCCAACTTTATAAACATATATAAGCTTTTGTTCATAATCTGGACTTCTCAGTTGCCAGAAAATGACCCCAAGGCAGGCAAAGTCAGCTCAGTAGGTTGAACCCCCCCCCCGCCCAAGAAAAAAGTAACATGAACTCCCAGGTTGCCAAAACTGAGGGAGGAAGAAATTACTTGCTTCCTTTGTGATCCATGCTCTGGCTCCTGCTTTTTTGCCTACCCAATCATGAGATAGCTTTTCACCCCTCTTCTACTCTTCCCACATCACCAAACTCCCAGAACTTGGCTGGGGGGGGGGGGGGGGGGGGGGGTGAAATATAAATCACTTCAAGAGGTTGTAGATGTAGAAAAAAAATTGATAGTCAGGTGAGAAGAGCTGAAGTCAGGACTCCAAATGCACCCTTTCTTCCAGATAAAGGGAAAAAAACCAGGAGGGGTCTGTATTGTATAGCAAAAGTATGAGATTCTCAAAAAACACTACAGATTTTGTCAGCATTAAAAGCTGAATAAATACAAACTGACTTCTATAAGAGGCATTGAATAATGCTTGAATAATGCTAGCAATGCATATGGCTTTACCTTCCGGTGGCCTGTTGGATGTTGCCACAACAACCACCCCATTCTGGAACAGATTTTCAAAAAGCTGTTTCAGAATCATGGCATCAGCGATGTCAGTGACCTGTGGAAGACAACACATTTGTTTTATCCTGCTTTCAGCTTCTGCTGTATAGATCTGCAAATGGCTTCATAGTAAAACAAAAAAAAAAGGCTTGTTAGTAAAATCCTTGGAGAAGGATTCTAATTATTGCTTGGGGAAAAATAAAGGGGATAATTAATAAGCAGAGAATGCATGACAGTCTTTTAAAACTTGTCTGCTCTTTATTACAGAACCCCATCATTTCTTTACCAATTGCTAAATGATTCCATGTTAACTTCTATTATAAAACTACAGGTGGGAGCCACAGAAAACAGACCTAAACATTTAAGAGGCCTAATTAATTAGAAGCAACATGAAATAACAGAAGATAGATAAAGAAAATACACACCGGCTGTTTTACATTTCTATTACCTTTGTAGCAAAGGTTCGGAGAGGTGACTTTAAATGGTCATGGGACTTTAGAAATAAAGACAAGTAGCCAACTATACATAATCAGCTGCTGTTGAAAATAGAATGATATGACATAGATACTATTGTGTGATTGTTGCACAAAACAATTCAACAGATGGCCCATCACAAAAATAAGCAATTTCATTGTTCTTTTTAAGTGCCTTCTATTACTGTCCATGAATAATCAAAAGGCACTGCAGTCACTTCCAGCATAGTCAGCCTCTTCTAACCTTCAGACACAAAACATTCACTCTAACAAAAAAGGGGTGGTACAATTAATACCAAAAAAAAACCTGGCAAACAATAAGCAGTAAAGTGAAAATTCTTAGACAAACTATTTACGAAGGCTGATTATAACTCATAATATTTGGAAATGGAATAACACACGCTTACGTCAAAAATACTGGGCGTGTCTACATGTGCACATTTAATGCGCATTAGCCCAATTTAAGGCGCATTTAGGGCTTGTGTCTACACGTGCATGCCCTTAATGTGCCTTAAAATGGCAATTTAAGGCTATTTGAGCCTCAATTTGATACCTGTATAGAGCAGATTAAATCACATTAGTGAACATGTAGACGTGCTAATGCACATTAATGAAATGTGCCCATTGACTTGGGACTAACTTTAGTCCCATGTCAGTCCACACAACTGCCTTAATGTGCATTAGTGCATGCATGTGTAGACACACAGCTAAATAGCCTTAATGTACATTAGACTAACATGCATTAAGTTTAGATGCATGCAAGAGCATGTGTAGACATGCACCCTGTGTGTTAGAAAGAAAAATGTAGTAAATTTTTCTGAATACAGAGAAATCCAGTTTTATTGGTAATATCACAGATTATAGAATCTTGCAGACTGGCTAAAATCAATGGACTCAAACAAAAAACAAGGCTATGAGTAGGAAGGATGGATTCTTTCACTCTCACCCCTCTGTCATATCCACCTGTGCCTTGTCTTACAAGGGATCTGCCTATGTGGTGCCACATAGCAGGGACTTTGACCACACAACTGACAGATGACCTCCTGTGCGCACAGGAAGAAGGTAAGAGTGCTTCTGCCAATATGCAGGGGTGTAGGTTGTAGCCGTGTTGGTCTAAAGACATAGGCAGACAAGGATCCTTGGGTGAATCTAATATCTTTTATTAGACTAACCCAAATGGTTGGAGAATAGTTATTAAGCAAGCTTTCGGGTTCAAAAACCCTTCATCAGGCTAAGGAAGTTTCAGCAGTTGGTGTGTGCTCTTCCTGGATGGAATGAAAAGTAAAGAAGCCAGCGGCTGGGCTGGTATGCATACAAGACAGGCAGGCAGTGAAAATGACACATTATAACCTGCCTGACATCTGACTCCCCAGGTCTCTCTCCACTTTCATCCCCCTTCTCTCTCTCCCACCCACCCCGCTGCCTGTCTCTCACCCACTGACTCCTCAATCTACATTTTCACTGACTACCTGTCTTGTATGCATACCAGCCCAGCCACTGGGTTGGTCTAATAAAAGATATCAGATTCATCCAAGGAACCTTGTCTGCCTTCTGCCAATATAGCTTATTGATGTTCCTCAAACTGAGTAAGCTATACCAATAAAAAGCACTTTTTACTCATATGAATGCATCTAAACTAGGGCTTTTGCCAGCATAAAATGCTGAAAAAACAATCAGACTCCTTACAAACATTACTAGACTAGCAAAAAGTGTATATCAGGCCTTAGGCTATAAATGCTTCAGAAGCAAGGTCAGGGAGGAAATTAAAGTAAATGAAAGACACTGCTCCCAGCCTCTGCTTAAATCTACTGATTTGTGGGGAGCTAGGAAGAACAGAGATGGACTTTGCTTTGTCATCTATTAGAGGCAACAGGGGAAGCCTTAAATAAAAGCAGGTTTTTCCTTCTCTATCAACAATCTCTGGATAACTATTCACTTAGTTCAAGGGGGAGGTTTGCTTTTTTTTCTAACTCAACATTAAACCATTTGATGAGTAATACAGTATGCAAACTATATACATCATAAATTACCCAGTGTCCAGCCTACACTCTGTTCAGAGTCATGGAGATATTTCTTCCAAAGTTTGCATATGCTAACTCAGGGACACGCAACTTGTCAAGTTCAGTTGCTTATATATTAGCTATTAGCAATTGTTTTCCTAAAGGTTCTTCTGAATTAATAAAATGTCATAAACTTCCAAAGTTGTCTCAAAAACTGAAGACATGGAAAGGGAAGTGGCACTTACATTATTTGATTTGGAATTCAAGATCATTGAGTTTCTGCACAAACACACTAGTGCAAATAGTTTTGCCAACTGCTTGTACATTGGTAGTACTTTAAATAAGAAATCAGAGCACAAACACAAATTTTAAAAGCAACTGAAAACCTTAATTGAGCCATAAAACAAGACTAAGAGAGGTGTTAAAATTGCAAAATTATTCTGTTACAAACTTTAACATTTTAAGTTGTACAATATACAACTGTTTGAAAAAGGACGTAAAGGACTGAAAAAAATTATATTTGTCGATTTTACAAAGGAAATATTTATAATGAAGTAAAAAGAAAGTGATAGTTTTGTTGCCAAGTTATTTGATGTTATAAAATTTTAATGTTACCACCTTACTAGAAAAGAATAACTTTTGAAGCTATATAAATTAATAAAGCAAGAGTCACTTTGTATATCAGCAGCTGATTTATGCTCTTTTGATCTTGCATAGTTTTTGAATGGTAGGATAATTTTATAGGGTACGCAAACAGAAGACAATAACTCAAGCATTCTCATAGCTCAGGTTTTTTCTGTACCCAGCTTTCATTACAACCAAGAACAAAAGAGAAGGCTACAAATTATCAATAAGAAGAGTCTCCTAATGGAGAGAATGGAGAAATTTCATTAGCATTTAAGAGAAAAGATTTTTATGACCTAGTGCTGCTTTCCATTATGACTCACTTAAGTAAAAAAGAAAAAAACTAATAGTTAATTTACATCTGTAAGTGCTTGAGACTCAGTCATCCACTGATTGGTACAGCTACCTATAATGAATGACAAACATAAGCATGTATTATCAGTAATTAGTATTAGCTGAAAAAAATAAGAGCATAGTTTTTTATTAGAGGCTTTTAATAGCTTTGCTGGTTTGTAAAAACTGTCTAAATTGTAGTTCTTTTTAAACCCAAGTGATGCTGATAGTATTTAAATACTGTCTCTGCATGATCATTCTGCTTACCAAGTCGAGATTCTATTTCCATTAACATTACTACTTGCTACAAGTTACAGTACAGTACAAAATTAGAAGCCCTAATTACTTATGTATAGAGTTGTTTCAGAACTACCCAAAATAAAAATAAATCCCTGACTTTACAGGCTTTTACTGTAAAGCAATAAAATTATAATTGTAAATGGCACAAATCTTGGTTTTTATGTTTAGGGCCAATTTTAAAAGGCCATACAATTTGCCTGGGTATAAAAAAAAATTGTTAAATGTTTACAGTAAAGTCCCATGGATCAAAGATTGTGAAAAGGAACACCACTTATTAAGCACTACAAACTTTGGCATTGAAGAAGTTTTGGAAAGATTTAGTTGCTCAAAGACTTAACACAGCCAATAGCACAGCAGAAGCCACACCAGTATCATAAAATGCACCTCTATTTCAAAACAGTAATTATTTTAACGTGGAAACATGTAAAATAATTCAACAGACTCATATACTTTTCTATGTCATTTAGTTAAGAGTAGTTATTTTAATTCCTTGTTTAACTCTTTATCCTGCCACCTACTTTCAGGATACTTTATAACATTGTCTTTATAACATCATTATTGACTCTGGCTGGGGGGTTTGTTGGTCTTTCTCCAGATGTTAAATGAGACTTGCCAACTTCAACAACGAAGAAATGCAATGATTCGTGATTTGATAACTGCTGAAATAAAAGTATCTTTAATGTTTTCTGCTAGCAATAATATGGAATCTCCTGTCACTATATATATTTTTTCAAAGAAAGACACTGTCCACTTTCTTCCTATTTGTATCAACAAGTACCTGAAAGATATTTCAAGTAAATCTAAACAGCTATTCTGATCATGTCTACTTCCACATTGTAAAAACATGGTTCTACTGTGGGAGCATAGACTCTTGCTTCCTTCTGTTATCATTTAAATAAGTCCCAAGTTTTCAGTTTGGACAGCAATTTTGTCTGAATGGTCCATTATTTTCTCTCTCTTTTGCTTATTTTCTTCCTGTTGTACCTGCTTAAATGTGAGCATGTGAAATCGTGAGTAAAATCTAGCCAGCCACGCTTCTGCTGTGAAAACAAATGAGTAGATCCAACTCAGTATTATGAACATTACCTCTTTTTAAGGTATTTTTTATTATTACTATCAAAATAGATTTGTGCTGCTGCTTTCAAAGCTTTAACTTCACTGTGGGTTTATAGTAGTAATAAATTAACAAGAATTGATATCTAAGATTCAAATGAAAATTCAATAGCTTGGAAACCTTTGCATATGTTCCAAGTAATCCTGTTGCATTTCCTTCTCAGCCAGACAACAAAGACAAAAAGTTACTTCATTCAGGAATGAGACTATTAAACCTTAAGCATGTCAACAGGGGGAGCAAGCAAGCAACCTGGGAAAAGCATCAAGAAGAATCAAAGTCTACCTTTGGAGTGCTGAAAGAATACAGTAGTGAAGCCCCTGCTTACTTCAGTGACAAAGGAGTGGGTGATAACTCACTCCTATGCAAGAGGAGAGTTATTTCCATTACCACACCCAAAACTGCAATTAGAGAAAGGCCTCCTAGACAGCTGTTTAAATTGTGCATTATTGAAATCAGCATGCTTACCAAAAAACTTCAAATTGCTTAACAGGAGAAGTATAACATGCTGCATTGCAGAACCCGTGAAATATAGTTCAGCAGAGCTCTCTGTTCATACTTACTTCTATATAAAACTACCTTCAAACAATGAGGTTGGAAATCAGAAAAAAAATACTGCATTCAAAGGCATAAGGTAAAATCCCCTTCATTAATTCAAGGTGAGATTTTAAATTCCAATCCAAGCCCTAGAAAATGTAAGCCATAAGTGTCTTCCATTAGAACAAGACACAGGCAAAGAAAGCCAGAGAGCAATCAAAATAAGGAGAAAACCCACAAAAAATCCTACAGCAAGTCATGAAGAAGATTAATATAGTTATGGCAAATACCTGTACCCGATACAAGGTTTGAATGTGTGCTAGTAATATTTTCTAGATGGAAAGAAGAGATCAGCAGTAAAGAAATAATGAATAAGTCAAGAACTCTTTTCCCAGCTGGCAAACGAAGCATGCCTATCTGTGAAATAACTTCAAAGACTAATCAATCTTTCATAACAGGAAAAATGGCACACATTAAAACAATTAATTTTTACTTGTCTATTACAGAGTTTACTTGTATTTGTAGAGCAGCTTCTCTCTCCAAAATTTCTTTAATGCACTTGTGCATTTTCAACATAACATTATGAGGCATATTAAAAATAAAGAGCTCAAGAATTCTGGAGAATAAAAAGAATTTAATCAAGTTAGTTTATGCAAAATATTTTATCAGTTTATTATATATGTTCATACTGAATTCAATAAAAACTGCTTATGATTTAACTGGTGTTTACACAGTGCTGTCAAATAGACTCCAGCAGACCACATAAAAAATTACAGTTGCATTGGACACGACATTCCCAAGTCCTTGATCATAGTCACTCAAAGTTTTATTTGGTTATTTGAATGACAGTGACTAGGAGCGAACAAGCAGGTATCAGGATACCAATGCACTCAGCACTGCACAAACATCACAAAAAGGGCATGTCTACCCCGAAGTGCTCATATAATCATCTCTTCAAGCATTAAATATCCCTACAGTGAATGCAATGATAAGAATGCAATGAAAATACTTGAAGCACATTAATCCAATTAACTTCTTCAGGAATTGGAAACACAATTTGTATTCTTGAATTTTAGCCTTCTACCAATATGACATATAAAAGGTAAGAGATTCTAGCGTAAAAGATAAAAAAACTTCAGGTTTTCCTGAAGCTATGAAACAATACCTACTTACTCACCTGAAATTCATCAAAACATAAGAGACAAGCTTCTTCACTTATTTCCTCAGCTACTGGGGCTATTGGGTCATATGATTTGGCCATACGTCCTGGTTTTCTTTTTGGCAAGCTCTGTTTAAGGCGGTGTATCCCTGAGTTAATAAAACAGAACAACAATAGAAAGATGATGTGTTTTCCTTTATATGCTCCAGAGGGAAAGCTAGAAATACACATTTTAGTTTAGATACTAAAATGCAAGAACATGAGCACTATATTTTAATTGGGCAAACGGAGTAATTTTTTAACCTTTTCATGTATTACAGATTCAGTACACCGCGTTTTCCCGCTTAAAATGTGTCAAATACTGCTTTGTAAGCCTCTTGGATCCTGATGATATCCACATTAAAAAGGTGCAACTATCTTTCCATTGTTTCAAAAATCCTTATATTTTAATTGGTAAATCTTTAATTTTGTCATGCTTAATTTATTACTTTGACTTCAGTTTGATTTCTTTGAGATTTCTAATATTCAGGACAATCTTTAAAGTATTGCAAAGTCAATCACGGAAATATGCACTGCTTTATAAGTCATACTTACAACTCTGTGGTCAAATTCTAGGATAATGAGAAGAATCAGCTCAGAGAAACTAATCCCTACATTTCTGAACTTTACTCGAGAAACACTGAACACAAAGTACTATGGTACAATATAACACTTTAGCTTATACTGAACAGAATCTCTAACACACTAAAAATCAACGCTTGGTAAAGACAGACCCTGTGATGAGAAGTTAGTTTTATTAAGAACAGACATACTGCAACTTATGTACTTATTTGGTCTCCAAAACATGGACCACCCCCATGCAGTATTGGTCACTGTGTCACAGTGAATCATCATTGGTATGCTGTGGATGCAACATAGGACTACAACTATAATCAAATTTAAGATTTATTTTTACATGAGGATGTTAAATTTTGAGGAAAAGATCAGGAAGGCTCCCAACTTGAAAACAGAAAACTTCAAAACAACCCTGAAGAAGTTTTGAGAGAGAAAATGAGTCAGCAATGTGACACTAACACAAAAAAATGCATGAAAAGTTATGCAATCTGGGGCTGCATTAACAAAAGCATTGTATGCAAGACACAGAAGGTGATAGTATCCCTCTACTCAACTGCTGGTTAGGCCCCACCTGGAGTATTGTCTCCAATTCTAGGCACCACATTTTAAGGACGTTGAGAAAATGGGGAGGATTGGAGAGCAAGTGACAAAGATAATAAACAGGTTGGAATTCAATCCATAGAGGAAAGGCTGCTAGAACTAGGTCTGTTTAGTTTTAAGGGAGGGATATGATAGCAGTTTTCAAATATTTGAAAGCTGTCATAAAGAATATAGAAAAGCATTGTTTTCTCTTACCACATAGGACAGGACATGAGGCAACAGATTTAAACTACAAGGCAGATTTACCATATTTATTCAAATATAAGATGAGATCCCCCCATCAGCATATGGAAGAAAGCTGTTCATCTTGCATGGCATACAAGAAAATCTTATTAAATATGTTACATATCATTAAACTGTTGTCACAAGCAGCATGAAAACCAACTATAAAATTGATTAAATGAAGCCAACACTGAGCATGACTATGAAACACATGGCCCATATTGAGCAATCATACTGGTGGGAAGCTTTTTTTTTTTGGCTTTTAAAAATAATGGGAGGGTGTTACTTTCACAGGGAACTGGCACCAGACCTAGAGGTACTGCAGTATCAGGCTGCGATCAGGAGAGTCAGAGCCAGCCCTGACACCCTCCCCTCTTGGTGCCCGAAATGGACTTAACTACATTTGATCTTAGCCAAAAAAAATTTTTTTAAAAAATGCGATGCTGATGGGAACCTACAGGAGGGTTTTTTCCAGGTCAAATTAATTAGCCAAATCTGTTCTGAATCCTATCAATTGAGCACAACTCAATCATTCAAAATGCTGTATGTGGCAGTACAACCGACAAGTATCCTCCACCCCAGACTTTTCAGCCTGGGGCTTCAGACACTCCCAAATCCATTTGGCAGGTATCTTACATGTAGGCCCAAGCCTGAAGGTCCTGGGGTTCAGATGTCCCTTGATCTCACTCACCCTTAGCTAATGGCCACAAAAACAAGCTTAGAGCAGTCCCCACAAGAACAGGTTAGTACAGACCATCTGAATAAGATATATTCAGTGCAAGATAAGATATACCAATTGCACTCAGTCCCTCTTAGCGCTGACTCTTTTTCAAGTCATGGTGGGCCATGCCTACTGAATAGAGTGTGACTTCCGTTTCACTCCCACAGCTGAGCTGTGCCTTTCTTTCCCATTTCCAATTATTCCTGTATCTTCATTATCATTAAATGTCTGGCAAACATCACCGAACAGGGCCCCAAACAGTTCACCCAGAAACCCTGTCACCCCGTCTCAGCCTGGTGCATAAGATTAGTATGACCCTGCCCTCCATGAGGTGGAACCAGACCACGTTGCCCTGTGCCTCATCTGCATATAAATCTTTGAAGGATCCTAAGACTTTGACAAGAATACCTAGTTCCAGGGGAGAGTATCTGGAGTATACAAACATACTGAGCAGTTCATGGGGTTAGCATTTCAAGCCATGGTATCGACTCTGCTGGGGCCCAGCCCAGTGAACTATATGATGAATTATAAAGCTTTTTGGCTTTCAACTAATATATTATGTATAATTTGCACTAGTTGAATGAAATACTGGAGACAGTGGTGGCTATCTACCAGGAGCTGTACACCGAATGACCAGAGGACCTGGGGGCCATGTAGGATTGTCTGCAGATGCTCACCCAGATCTCTGGAGAGGACAAACAGCTGATGCTGGTAAAGGAGTGGACCTGGGAGGAGGTTGACAAAACCCTCTTCAGTTTCAAGAATCACAAGACTCCTGGCGCAGAGGGGCTGCCCAAGGAGTATTATGTTACCTTCTGGGATCAGGTGGGCCCTGAGCTGCTAGAGGTCTTCAAAGACTGACTGCAAGAGGGCCACCTGGGGGCAGGGATGGACCAGTGCCTCATGACCTAGGGGCAGGGATGGACTAGTACAAGAAGGATCCAAGGGAGGAGTTGAAGAACTGGAGGCCCATAACTCTCCGGAACATCAGCTATAAATTGCTGGCCAAGGTGGTGGCCGAGTGCCTTAAATCTGTCATAAGGACAGCGATCCATGAAGACCAGATGCGCACAGTGCCAGGGAGACAGATCCACAGAGCCCTGATGCAGCTACGGGATGCAGGAGAGGGGCCGGAGCAGTGCCATGCTGAACCTTGACATGGAGAAAACCTATGAATATCCTACCAATTCCTATCTGAGATGCTGAAGAAGACGGGGGTCCCACCAACCTTTGTCACCTGGATAAAGACACTGTACATGGACATAAGCAGCTAAGTGCTGGTAAACAGGCTCCTGACTGCACCAATCGCAGTGGAGTTGGGGGTCTGGCAGGGGTGCCCACTCTCCCCATCATCTGCACCTCTAGCTCAACCAAGAGGAAGTTAGGGTCCTGGCCTACATGGATGACCTCAACATCCTCTGCACAGACAAGCGGTCAATTAAAAACGTATTGAAACACACACACATATGGAGTGATGGCAGATGCCAAGCTCAATGTGAGCAAAAGCACTTGCCAGGTACTGTGTGATTTGGGGGACCTGTTGTCCCTGGGGGGTCTCCATCCCCCACAAGGAGGTGAAGATCCTCAGCTGGAGTTCGACCCAGAGCTGACTGGATGGAAGGTGTGGGAAAAGACAGAAGCTAAAGTTAATCAGAAATAGGAACTGTGTTACATGCACTGCCTGTCAATGGGGGGGCAGCACATGGCACTCATGAAGGCAGTGCTGGTACTGGTGCTTCTGTACATTGCCCTTGTCTTCCCCCACTTGGAACAAATTACCCACTGAATCCAGAGGGCCATATGCATCTTCTTTTGGGGCTCTGGATTGGAGAGAGTGAAGAGTAAAACCTTGAAGAAGACTAAATGGACAGGGGCCTGAGGAAAGCCAGACATACTGCTTTTCCTCTGGGCCAAATACATAAGCCAGATATGCAAACTGGTAACTGGGGCAGAGGCTAAAACAGTCTGCTTCATGAAGTATTTTTCTGGTAACACGCTATGATGTTGGAGGATACATGTATTATCACCTAGCTACCTAGGAACCACCATGGTTCTATAGAACCCTGGAGCAGTTCCGCAGCAAGTATGCACTATAGAAAGATGGGCCTGATGACCCTAAGGAACCACCGCAAAATGCAGGAGGTGGTGAGGAAACAGGATGTGGTGTCAGCCATGGACCTACTACTCCCCAGCGACAGCTACCAAGCCACAAGGACCTACAAAAAGAGCACAAAGACATGAACTGGCAAGTAGCCCACTGCATACTCCCAGTGCAGGCACAGTATCACAGAGAGGGGTAGAGAAACCAACTACTGCTCCTGGAAAACCTGCCCATGGAAAGCAGAAACAACTGACCACCTCCTGTGGTAGTGTTCTTTAGTCAAAGGGGTGTGCAGGAAAGAGTTTATACAGCTCTCAAGATTATGACAGGGGTCCAAACCCTGACCAGAGAAGTGGTGTCCTTTGGGCACTTGTCCAAACAGAAGGGGCCCCTGATGACCCACTTCAATCAATTCATTTCCTACTTTAGAAATGCCAGTGGAAGTCCAAGAACCTCCTCATATATGGGCTCACAAACCTCTCAATAGAGGCCTGTGTCAGAATGGGACTAAGCGAGATAGAAGTGTACTACAAGAAAGTGCTGAAAGATGTTGGAGAGGTGGTGGGGATCATCTAAAGGAGAATGGACTGGCACAGATTGTTCAAGGGCGTGACCCATGAAGAAAGTGATGACAATGGTGGTGACAGTGGCAACGACAAGAGAGAAGAAAGTGACAATGGCAGCGATGACTGAAAGGACTGGGAAAGAAACAGACAGGGGTGGAGGAGAGAGATGGGGTAAGCTTAGGGGGTAGGGAAAAGTTGCATGTCTTTGTGACTGGCAAGGGTGATGGCAATGGGAATGCAGGTGTGTGGACATGTGAGAGCACAGGTGCTCAGTGCAGATATTGTGATGGGAAGGTATATGATGTAATGGCAATGATATGCTTTGGACTGTCAAGTGAGCCATAGCGGCCACCGGACAGTTTTCGTAGAAGTACTGCAATATATATTTTTTTTGCAAAAAGAAGTATAAGTAGCTACAAAAGTGCTGCTTAAAAGTGCTTTTATGGAGTACCTGTGCTAAAACCCAGAGCAATTTCAAAAAGGTAAAATACCTTAATTCTGGACAGTACCCATAGTAATTTGCCTATATGTAAGTTATTACAGGCATGTTCATTTCAAAGTCAGTGTTTGCAGATTTACTCCTTACTTCCATGTGTTTAGGGAGAGCAGGGTCTGACAGTAAGGGGGAAGGGGCTGTAGGAGGAAGAAGTTGGGGGGGAGGGGGGGGCAGCAGAGGACAAGCTGGCCATCTGACCCCCAAAATTTTATTTTCCCTGCTGTAGCAGTGGGAGGGGGACAAATTCAAGGCAAACCTCCAATAATTAGATTCTATAGCTGCAAAATTATAACAAATTTATAAATTTTCCAGGTATAAAATGTAAGACTTGGGGTCATCTTGTATTCAACTAAATACAGTAGCTCAAAACTCCAAAAAAAAATTCCTAGCTGCAATAATAGTAGGAGAAGAGAACAAGTCACAATAGGGCAGGAGTTTTCAACCTTGTTTAATAAGTATACCCCCGGTGGGCAGAGCAGGGGTGTGGCAAGCGGTGGCAGCTATGAGGCAGCGGCACGGGGTGGCGGTGTTCCCTCCCCGCCTGCCCCAGCGTATCCCCTGGGATCTTTCAAAGTATCCCCGGGGGTATGCGTACCCCCCAGCTGACAACCCCTGCCATAGGGAATCTGTGGTGGTTTGCTGTTGGAGGTTTACTAAGAGGACAAGGGGTGTGGGAGGACAGATCCAGGCCCTCACAGTGAAGTGGGGAGGGAGTGGGGCTGGGGCAAGGGCAGAGGCAGGGGCTGCCCAGCCAGGCAGGACAGTGCACGAGACGGAGCCATGGGTGGCAGCTCCTGCTGCTGTGAGCACCCCAGGGGGGGCACATGTCCCCAGGATTTGTGCGTGGGGTGAAGGCAGGCTGTGCACTATGGGCCCAGGGCTGGGGGCTGCGCAAGGGCTGCACTCAGGCCTGGTGGTAGCAGTGCTGGGTTGGGGGCCTACAGGGGGCTATGGGTAATTTTGGGGTGACTGTAGTCCACCCCATACCCTCCCTCCCCCAAGCACAGCCCCTGGTCCCAACCCATAATGGACAGCCCACCTTTGCCCCATGCACAAATCCAGGGGGGCACGTGCCCCCCATGCCTCGACAAAGGTGTGAGCAGCAGCGGGAGTTGCCCCCCGCTCCAGCCCCCATGCCCGCCGGACAAGCCACCTGCAGCTCTGTCCTTCACCCCGCCCCAGCTGGGCAGCGTCTGTCCCTGCCTCAGCCCCACTGCCTTCCTCACCATGCGGGTCTAAATCTGCCTCCCCGCATGTCCCTTCCCCCAACAGACTTACTTGCCAGATGCTGCTCTCCAAGCTGCCAGGCAGCATATCAGCAATCAGATTGGTATCAGCCAATATAGCTGGTTAATAATCGGCCATCAGTACCGACCAAAAAAATCTTTATCGGTGAACCCCTACTTATAAATAAATAAGTTCACAATGTTAGGATGCTTCCTGGTATTTAGGATGAATTTCCTTTTACTATATTTATCAACATATTCCTAGTTGACATCAGCTTTGCCTCTCTAAAACAGCTCTCATCCTCAGTAGCGTTTATACCCTTCAAATATTTTTATGCTTAAAATAACTCCTGAGACTTCCCACCAATGATTTTCTCTTGCCTTACGCAAGGGCATCCAACATCATGTTGGACAGTCAAGCAAGGGTTTTTCCTTTTAAATATTCTAGAAATAAAGAGAGAAGAAATAACAGATGAGATGAAATTCACTATTTGGTATTTCATGTGGCATATATTTTGACTTTTTCCCCCTCCTTCCACCTCTTTCTGCCTACATTTATTAATAATTTTGACAAGTTTTTCTTTTAGTGGTATATGGGCACACTATTTGCTGAAAACAAAATACCTCATGAAATTGAGAGAGGGGTCAGACAACAACAACAAAAGTAAAATTTATATTGCCCTATGTTACCAGCTGTGTTACCTGATCTGATCCTCACAACGTAAGGTGCTGTGGTTGGAAACATTTCCATCCAGGGTTGAGAAAGGAAAGCAAAAGAACAAGGGTAGCAATGAATGAAATAACATGATTACTAAATAAAGAAAGTACTGATAGCACTAGCCTATGTTCTTCCAGGCTTACCGAACTGATTTCATTATTTCTAAAATTGTCCCTACTAGAAAAATGGCTAGTCTAAGGTTTAATAAATCAAATAAATCAAGTAATGGAAATGCCTTTAGAGGTTTTTTGGTTTTGTTTTGGTTTTTTTTTAACTGGTCTTAAAGTGCTCATTGGGAATAATCAATCTCAGTCTTAAAAACATTCCTTTACATAACTTGTAAAACACATTTCTGTTTGTCACATTCTCTAGATGGAAGATATCTTCCCCTCTAGACCCGTCTCCATTCTTTCCTCTCGCCCCCAAACTTAGTTTTATTTTCTCTCCTTTTTCTCTCTCTCCCTCTTTTAGAACTGTGGAGTATTATGTTCAACTGAAGCCACCAACTGAGGCCAAACATAGTTAATTAATTATAGTACTGATTTCACACACAAAATCTGGCTTTTTTGGAACAGCATCACATTATCATATTCAACATATAATTCACTATTGGCATCAATAATCTATAGAATTTAGTGTAAAATACTAGGTAAATAAAGGATACCAAGTAAATTAATACAGAATATACATCTAATTTCATACATACTCAGCACTATATTATCTTTTGAGGAGGCATAACTAAACAAACATGCTGCTAGTATCTACACTGGAATAAGAGAAAATCCTTTCCAAAACCTGTTTTTATTAGTTACTTAAAAGAGAGTCAAACTGGCTCATATGGAAAGAAAAAAGGTTTGCTTTACAGAGTTGACATTTATAAATCACAGTAAGTATACAAAAATTTGCACTTACTTTTGTGTACATCTAGCATGAAGCCATGAAAATGGACTCTCTTTTTCCTCTCTACCTCCAGATGAGAATAAAATATGTCCATCACCATTGTCTTTCCTGTGCCTTCAAGTAATAAAAAACAAAAACACAAACACACCCTACAGGTAGTTAATTTAACAACAGTAGGTACTGATTACAGTAATGATTGTTCATTAGCTTTGAACTAATGAAAGTAGCTCTTCTGCAGAACAGTACAAGACCAGCTTGTTTGAGAAGAGGTTATATTTTATGTTTAAATAGCTAGAAAAACAGCTGTACTTTTATTTTTTCACACCGATTGGTGTACACAATTGGCTCAAAGCCCTGTACAAGTGGCTATATATCTTCATATGAAATATCCTCCATATTTTCCTTAGAAGCAAGGGTGTTTTTGTGGTATATTGGCACAGTTAGAATAAATTCTTCCTTTCTTTTCTCTCTCAATCAATATTTAATAATATGGTTAATTTGGGCAATACCTTGTCAAAATCAGAAATAAATTCATGAACAAAAATGTAACTGCTCATAGACTCCTAACTCTATTTGAAGACCAACTTATATTCTAAAAGAAAACTAGCCTGAAAAGCTCATAAAACATAAGTCATTTGCTATACAAATGAACTTTGACATAAAATGATACCTTAGAACTTCAGTAAACACACAGAGAAAACTTTTTAGTGAAATCTCTGCTGAAACTTACCAACATCTCCATAGACATAAAGGCCTTTTGGAGGTTTTCTTTTTGCAAACAGCTGCAAATCACAAGAAAAAAAGACCATTTTATTTAAATATAGCACGTAATACATCTAAGTCTACTCCTGGATGAAAGAAAACCAGGTGCATTGAACTAAATAAGGTTACAATGCAAGATATTTTTGATAAAACATTATTGATTTTATATTATTTTATACTCATTAAAAAAAAAAATAATGCCTCTAATAAATTACTAACTCAAAAACTGATATGGAATCCATGTGGATTGAAAGGGGAAAACGGGCCAAAAATTCTGAAAACTAGCTCAGGTGAAATGTGGCCCGTTGTTCTTGGTGCACACTATTTAACATCACATATAAAACTACTGAAACTTCTCAATTCATGATCAAAAACTCTCTCTTCCACCAAGTTCTTTGAGCACGCAGAATGGAAAGAATTTAGGAACACCAATTTTGTACTGTGAACCAGTATTTGCAAGTATATATTCCAGATCAGCAGCAATGTTGAGGATGTGATTTTAAAAAGAAGGTAGAGTAGCAATGGTGACTATTCCATCATAACTCTTCACCCAGTACCTTTGAGCCTAACTTATGCTCCTTTAAACTTCATTCAAAGCAATGGAAATACAACAGCTAGAAATATGTCTGTTTATCCACAAAACATTCAGCTTGGAAGCAAGTATTTTATTCACCACTATTTTATCTAGTTAGATGCATTTATCTTGAATGCATACTGTTTAAGTGTTTTCAGTCTCTGCCTAGATGTATTTGACACACACTGTACTGTTTTGAAGGCTTGTTTTCAGAGTTTCACTTCTAACTGGAAATATTTTCATGTAGGTGGCTTTGTGAAATAGTTTGCATTTATCTTAAGATTCTCAGTTTACTTCATTTTTTCCAAGAACTGAGCAGAAACATTTGCAAATATGTAACTTTAAGCAGAAATCGTTTATAAAGAAAAGAATCGTTAAAAAATTCTAATCAATTTGCTAAACTAAACTGACATCCACAATAATATTTCACAAGGGTACTTGTTTGGCTATTTTAAAATGCTGCAATTTGAGAGCTATAAAAGCAATGCAAGAACAGAGGAAAATTAAAATTACAACCCTGTGGTCTCATTTGGAGCTGTGTAATTGCTAAACAACTTGAATCTACAGCACATTTCAAAATACAGTGTTATATTAAAAAAAGTGTTTTTTCTAGCAAAACAGTCATTAATGGACACACAAAAGAAAACATAATGCATGACCAAAACCAGCAAGATGCATTTCTTAGATTTACATGCCTTTATAGTACCAATATCTCTCACAAATATGCAAGGCTGACAATTATAATAGAACCACTTACAAATTTAATTTAGAGCTACATTAATATGATACTCAAAATTTATTAATCTAATCTGCAGTTTCAACAAGGTTTCAGATGTTCTGAAACAGTTCCATTAGTAGAGATGACTGCAACTATTTGCTAGTGCTTTGAAAATACAGCACAACAATTTAATTGATGAACATTTTTCTGTGCCCGTTTTCTTTAAAAGGCTTGCTCTCCATACAACTGCTAACTCTCAAAGTTGGGCAGTTAAGAAAGAAAAACAGGAAAAATGGAGAAAGGGATATTTGTATAAAAATGCAGAACCATAAATCTTTTTAAAAGTAAGAGAATTTCTCTAGATTAAATTTAAAATTACTGATCACAATTTGTCATTTTTCACACAGGGAAGTACATTATTATTAAAGATAAAAAACCTCTACTAATGCAACACAGTTTCTACAGCTTTGAAACTCATACACACATACACACCAAGAAAATGAAAAAAAGCAAGGCTAACAGGTGCATTACGTATATCTCTATGGTATGCATAGTATGTGCCTACACAATAACACAAAATTACTGTACACAATTTTTTCTGCTCCAAAGTGTCTCTCTCAGCTGCTTAGAATTTCCCTGAAATTCAGTGTTTTAAGAAGATATTCTGCATGTTTTGTTCTTAATTTAATAGCTGGTATTTCTGGAAGGTCAACATGAAAATGTTTTGGGCCAAAGGAAAGACTTGTGATTGTCTGGACTCCATGAAGGTCCAAATTAATGTTTGGGATCAAAGGAGAATTTGTCGTTATATAACAATGTAAGATTGGTAAATGCTACAGAATTATGAGAGGAAATGGGCAGATACTATTAAAACTATCTCAGTGGATGATCAGTGATTGCCTCTGAATTTAAATTTAGCCCCGGGGCAAGCTCTACACACTAGGAGAAAATACATCAGAACCTTTCACATCCTAATTAATTAATATTCTATTTTATCCGAAGTTGCCAGGAAAGACAACATAAGGATTACATTTAGGATACATCTTTACTATAATATTTGACAGGGTTTTCAAATGTTTTATTTAGGATTCTTAAACCTAAGAGTGATATTTTAAAAATTTGGTAATTTTTTAAAAATGAAAAATATTCAGAAGTTTTTGAGTATTGCCAAACACAAATTTGGAAAAGTCCTATATCAGGATCCAAAAGTCACAAGATTAGCTAAAAAGTCTCATAATTAAAAAATAATAATTTGAAGTTTTATTTATTTTGAGTATTTTGATTTATTAACTTTTTTATTTTGGTCATATTTTCAAGGGCTTTTTGGTGATTGTAAAGGAAGAAATTATTACTGAATGAAATGTACACTTCTTCCCATAATCTCCAGAAGCTTAAAAAAGGTCTATAAGCAAAACATGAAGACTGTTTACAGATGTGAAAAAAACCAAAACAGCACTTTACTTTAAGCTCAGTACACATCCACACCAAGCACAGCGCATGCCAGAAGAGGCATAGCATTAGTCTGACGTCTTACTCAACGTCTGTATAGATCAGGCGCTTCAAAAGCTTTTTGGCGCTTTTATCTAATAGCTGACATTTTTTTCACATCTGTCAGCAGCCTATGATTGTGAGACTTGCAATACAATTGAGACAATTGGCAACATTGGATGGACGTCTTTAGGACAGAGCTAGCTACCAGGCCAAACTTCTGTATTATATTCATAGTATCATCATAGTTTCATAGCAGGTAGGGTCAGGAGGGACCTGAACAGATCATCTAGCCCGACACCCCCCCCCACCCCGGTCACAGGCAGGAATGAATGCTGGGTTCACAAGACCCCAAACAGGAAATCGTCCAACCTCCTCTTGAATTTGCCCAAGGTAGGGGCGAAGACCACTTCCCTGGGAAGTTGATTCCAGATTTTGGCCACCCGAACTGTATAGTATTGCCTTCTGATCTCTAACCTAAACCTATTCTCCATCAGTTTATTACCATTGTTCCTTGTCACGCCAGGTGGTGCTGGGGAGAAAAGGGCTCTACCTATTTGCTGTTGATCTCCCCTGGTAAGTTTGTAGGCAGCCACCAGGTCCCCCCTCAGCCTCCTCTTGCTGAGGCTGAACAGGTTCAGGTCCCTCAGTCTCTCATAGGGCTTCATATTGATGGAGGTGTAGCAAAACAGGAATCTGGGCTAGACAGTATAGAAACCTGCAGGAGCCAGAGAAATGTAGGATCTTCTCCAATAAAAAGAAAGCCATAAGGTTGAGTTTATTAAACATCCAAGGCAGACAAGGTTCCTTGGGTGAATTTGATATCTTTTATTAGACCAACCCAAATAGTTGGAGAATAGTTATTAAGCAAGCTTTCGGGTTCAAAAACCCTTCGTCAGGCTAAGGAAGTTTCAGCAGTTGGTGTGTGCTCTTCCTGAATTCCTGGATAAAATAAAGTATGTTATAACAAATGTTTGATTTTTATTATAAGATTTGGTTGTATCTATAATTTGTTAAAATTATACAGGTTTCCCTCAATTTATGCCCCAGTAGGGGCTTCTGGCCTGGAAGCATGTGGCTCCTTATGGCTGCCCCAGTGCAGGAAACTCAGGTAAGTGGGGGAGAGGGCAAGGGAGCACCACAGGCAGGGAAGGAGCTGGTGCTGAGCATGGGGAAAGCAGCCCCTCGCCCACCTTGTGGCCGGTGCTCTGCACTACAACCACTCACAGCCCACGTGGGGCTGTCCTGAGCAGGCAGAGTCAGCCCCACATGAGCTGCGAGTGGCTGCAATGCGGGGCGCCGGCTATGTGGTGGGCGAGGGGCCGCTTTTCCCGTGCTCAGCACCAGCTTGTAACCCACTCCCGCTGCCAGCCTGGGCCCCGGGGTCACCCATTGGGGCTGCACCGCGGCAGCGAGAGCCGCTCCGGGCAGGAGCAAGCAGCACCATCCTGGGCAGTGTTTGCCACCACCGCCTCTGGGCTACCCAGCGTGCGAGCTCTGAGAGGGCAGCAGCAGCAGCAAACACTGCCCCCTGGGGTGAGTGGGGAGCCACTTTCTTCTGCGTCAAGCAGCTGCTCCTGCCTAAGCGCAGCCCCTACGGGTGAGCCCAGAGCCGATGCGGGGCCCAGGCTAGCAGTGGGGGCAGCTTACAAGCTGGTGCCGAGCACGGGAAAAGCGGCCCCTTGCCCGCCCCATGGCCGGTGCCTCACACTGCAGCCCCCTGTAGCCCACATGGGGCTGCCCGTCTTGTGGGGGCACTGGGATCCAGCACCGGTGGGACCCAGAGCAGGGCAGCAAGAGTACAGGGTCCCAGCTGGCAGGGGCTCTATGGAGCCAGGCCAGCTCCCACCTCTCCCTGCTGGTGCAGCCCAGCCTGGCTCCACAGACCTCGGCCAGCCTGTGCCCCACTTTGGGCCCCACTGATGCTGGCCCTGGGACATTGGGCCCTAGACATTGGGACACTGGTCCCAAGATGGTGACCAGGGGGTGGGGCACCTGTCAAAGGGCAGGGCTACCCATGTTGCCCACGACAGCTTGCCAAAACTGGGTAAGCGGCCCTCCACCTGAAATAATTGCTCACCCCTGCCCTAGCCCGGGCTGCATGTACCAGGGCACGGCGCAGCCCAGGAGCAGAGGTGAGTACAGAGAAGTAGAGCCCAGGCAAGGGGGGAACACTTGGAGCACGGTGCAGCCCAGGGGCTGCAGGCTGTTGGCGCCAGCCACTCCTGGGGCCTCTGTAGCCGGGGCTGGGGTGAGTGCTGCTGTTCCCTCTGCTTTGCTGCCTTGTGCAGCCCCGGGAGCGGCGCTCCTCCCCCCACCCCTTCCCTAGGCCCAGCCTCACTCCCACCCTCACCGCCATGGGAACCTATCCCTATTTGTTACATTGTAAAGTGGGTTTCCTTTATGTGAATTCAATTTATGCACTGTTCTCTGGGAACGCACGTACCGCATAAATTGAGGGAAACCTGTATCTTATTAAACCTGTATCTTATGTGTGTGGCCCTCAACAGCTCACCAAAACTTAAGTGGCCCTCCAGCCAAAATAACTTCCCACCCCTGTACTAGGGAATATCCTTTATTAGCTAGCAGGTCTGGCACACACTCTCTTCTCAGATCTTCTTTTGGTTGCAACTGTATCTGAAAACATTTTCATGGTCCTGAGGTAGGTCTGTAATTGTTTGTACCCTACTTCAACACATGGCTTCACCAAGAGTCAAGGCTGTCTCAAGTAATTAATATACAGCCACCATCAAAATGTCCAAATTGGTGTTTATTCTGCAAAACTTGAGATCTGCAACATGTAAACAAATTTGTGGTCTTGAGTTTCAGTTCCAAGATCTAATAATACATGAACACAAAAGGTCATCCTTTCTGAAAGTTGAAGAACAAAATTAAATAAATACAGCAATATCACTGCTCAAAACCAAAGATTATTAGCTTTGAAAAACATAAACATATCTAACTTCAAATTCACTTGAGCTAATCCAAGGAAGTACCCTTCACTGTTAGCAAATTTCATGAGGAAGAGAACATAACATTTTTAAAACTGCTCATTTTTTAATTTTCTGTTATGTTTAAAGCTAACATTGCTTTTTTTGGGAAACCTGCATTAGGATTTTTTAAGGTTTGTATGCTAATATTATTTTCACTGTAATTTTAGCAAATACATCTTGACATAGTGGGTTGTAGATAGGCCTGAGGATGTCCCCAGTGGCTGGATTTCACTGGTGGGTGAATGTGTGCGGAGCTGTTTGGCTGGAAACCAGTTCCAATGCTGCCTTCATTGGGTGGTGAACATGGAATAGTTGGCAAGTCATGATGCCGGGAAATTACTAGGTGAGCACAACCACCTATGCCCATCAGCTCCAAGCAGTAGAGTTCTACCACCAGAGCTACACCAGCCACCCCGAATTCAAGAGAGGCCAGGACTGGGGTAGAATCAGTGCACCATGGGATGCCTGGAGAATAGATTGGGCCAGTTGTCCCAAGACAATATCCTAGCACAACCTTTCATACACACTTTGCAATGTCCCAACAGAAACTATCAGTACTTCTTCTCCTGCGTTCATTTTCAGGCCTTGTCCTGAGACACCAGAAATGGATACCTGCTCATAACCTGAAAGACTTAAGTAATGTTAATTGAAAAACATTAGTGTTTTAAAGGAGCTAGTAGTGAGCACTACAAATGTAATAGTGAATGGATACACATTCTACAACTGAGGGCATCTGACCAGCAGTAGATAAAGAAATGTACAGTCACATGATCCCTACTGAAATTAATATTATCCCTGAATGATCAAGTAGCAATCATGACTACAGGCACCATTGCCAACTAATGTGATGATCAGTCAGCCCTCTCAAACTACAACCATATCATGTTAGTTATTTAATGTTTGTCACCTGAAAGCTAGATTAGCTTTACCAGAAAAAAGAGAAGCTAGAACTGTGCATAATATTCTAAAGCAGTGTATTATTTTTGTTCTGTGCAAAACAAGATTTGCTCCCCCATCACTACTGGCACCTTCAAATTCTGGTCCAGATATATACAGCCCTTAAAAAGATAATTACATATATACAATCATTCAGGATATTCTCATTAAGAGAGCTTAGGTATAAATGTCAGGCAATGAAAATAAAGTTCTCCTAACAGTACTTCCAAGGCTCCTGGACAATCTCCCAACTACTCAGCACCTGTCTACAGTGCCTAATTGCAGGGCATGGGGGTATACATATTAAGAGCAAGTGGATGGGCTTTATTTCTCAGTGGAAGTTCCAGGCTTGGAGGGAAGGCAATATAAACATGACCAATAAGACTCAGCTCTTCTCACTGCATTTTTTAAATAAAAACAAAGAAAGAAAGAAAAAACAGAAGACAGCATGTTTAAAAGATACAGAGGCATGTCTAGGGACCTATTTAAATTGTGGTTTTACAATTTTCATGGAAACTGTGAAAAAGTGGTTTCCGCAAAATCGCCAAGAAAATGGCATTTCCCGTGATTTTGCATGGAATTGCCTGGGGGAAAAAAAAGCATATCAGAAAACAAGCACCGCAATCCCTGCAGCCATAAAGCACATGGTTTGACAGACAGCTACTGAGAGGCTGAGCTATTGATGTGGACTTAGAGAAGGCACCAGTCAGACAAGCAAAAGGGTTTTGGTGCCACCTTTTAAGAAGCCAGGTGCAATGCTGCAATCTGAAGATATCTGATTGGCATCTCGGTCAATCAATGAGGAGGCATGGGAACACCAGGGACCCATGGACAATCAGTGGTGAAGGAGGGCTTGCCACGAAAAGACTGCGAAATTAGCTCCGCACACCATGACAATCGCTTCATCTTGCCATGATTTAGTTAGGTCCCTAAGCACAACTAACTCAAAGCAGGGCAAATAACCAGCTTCCCTTCCCAGTATTCCCCACTTCCTTCTCTTCTAATGCATGTATAGGGCTTGGAAAAAAATGATAGGGATGGGGACTTTAGAACTGATGATGATGAGACACAGACAGCACGCACTGAAGCTGAAAACTCAAAAATACGTCTGTGGCCACCTGTTGGGAAGCTCAGTGGAAGGTGAAAAGCTCATGCAAATTTTAAGTCTGACAAGTGTAGCCTACCTATAAAAAAGGGAGCCTTACTAACTCTTAGAAGCTTTTCTTTAACATAAATAGAAATGCTGTACCCTTGGAAAGTCCACAGTTCAGCCTCCCAAAGGCCTAAAATATTAAAGTTGAAATATTATAAGTTCAGAGCAGAAAAATCAATGTTTAGGTGTTCTCAGATGGCAATCAATTTTATTAAATACACTGATACAATATTTGATGGTTTGTTTTTAAAGTCACCAGATTGAATTACTTCACCTTTCCTGTGATCAGCAAAGAGACTAACCTTTCCAGAATTCCATTTAGTTGTTCTCCTTTGTCAATGTCAGTAAGTAGCTCAATAGGGAACAGTTTTCCCTCAACTAACTGGAAATAGTAGACACTTGAAATATTTGCTTCCCCTGAACACGCAATAGCTTTTGGGGGTATTTTTAAGAAAGACAATGTTCCCTTTCTCTACTAGTAGCCAAAACTGATTTTCAGATATCTATGTTTAGTGTCAAAAGCAGTGTGTTTCAAAGGCCTCAAGGCAATTAGCATCCCTGGGCATATAGCACCTACAAAAGAAACCTCAAAAATAGCAGAGATATACACTTTCAGGCAGTACACATATACATGTAGAGACTTTATCACAAGTTAAATGTACCAGTTTTTTTCCCTCAAAGAAATCCCAAAGAAAGCAACAAGGCACTGTGAAGGGGTAGGCTGATCCAACAGCTGGGAAAGGTCAAGATATGTTCCAAACACCTGCAGAGCACCAGTTATCTCCTCAGAGCCCTCTTTAACAAAGATTCAAAGCCACGCAAGCCAAAATACACTAAGTGATCTTCAGGGTCTTGTTTTGGCCTTTTGTCCCTGTTGCTTCATAATCTTTACATCCCTCTTTTCAGGGCTTCTTCATCCTCCCCAGCTGAGGTTTACCACCAGATGACACCTGCTTCCTCACAAAAGGCGCAGAGAATTTCCTTCCAGGTCTTTCTCTGATGACGCATTTCTTCTGCCTGCTAACCTCTGCTCTAGCTGCAGGAGATGCAGATGCTATTTCCTAAATGGCACATGACTGGTAAAATGTGACCTGCAATGGCAGGGCTTGGGGCCCAAGGAATGCAACAGGTACACTGAAACACACACATATACCCCAAGGTTTTATGCCCTGTTACAGATGTGCAAGCACTGCACTAACCTTTCACTGGTGTAATCCTTGCCCTACAAAACCTTCTCCTTTTCACCTTCTATTTATTTTTATCCCATAATGTTTCAAGTAAATCATAGTCTACAACTGCCCAACTGTAGGATTTATTTGCTTCATGCAGTACCATACTCATTTATGGCACTGTTATGGCTATTGAAATAATTTAGATTCACTCATTATTTTTTGTTTAAAATTATTTTGCAAACATTCAGATGAATTAAAATCCTTTCCTTTGTTAAAATCATATAAAAGTTGGTATTTGCCTGCAATGTTCACAACCCAAGCAGATCAGCATTTTGAAACTGATCTGACCCTTTTGCTGAAGCTGCAAAATACAAGAAAAGGAGACATGGCAAAAAGTACCTAGGATTTTGTTTCACTTTAACAAGCTGGTTATTCCCATGCAATAGGCATTTTATAAACTAACATCATAGATGCAGGAACAGCTGTCAGGCTATGAAGCTTTGATTGCAGCCAAAGCTACTCATGAAGAAAGTTGGTTATATAATTGTCACTGCCCTTTTAAACATACCCACATAGACAGGATGCTTCCAGAAGTTTATAAAGAAAAAATATGCTTGCTATTATCATCATAAGCCTCACCTTTGATAGAAGGTTTTTTGAACTAATACTGTAGCCTTTTAAGCTCTCATGTAACTTCTGCAAAGACCGCACAACTTGCCATTGCTGTTCATCACTCCTCAGATCATCTTCTTTGATCAGAAAGTCATAGTGTTCCAGTGGTCCACTGCAAACCAGCAAGGCTTTAGAGTTCGCATCTGATAGAGTTTTAGGAGCTACTTTCTCAGCAGCATAAACTGTGTATGCTGCAAAATAAAAAAAAATATTTAACTGTTTATAGATCAGTTCCTAAAACTGCCAAAAGTTGTCAAAAGTTGTCAAAAACTGCCAAAAGTTCCTAAAACTCCCTGGTGGTGGCAGTAATGGAATGGATGGAACAGGGGGATGAGACCAGCAACACTCCTACCCCCCACACCCCATCACTCTTGATGGGCAATTGGCTAGTCTCTTTGTATTTCTCTAAAGAAACTTTTAAAATATCATTCCCAAGTGGGAGTCACTTTAGTAGCATGTTTTAACATGTTTGCACATGTACATGCACACCAGCCCAACCAAAGAGCAGGTCACAACTTGGAATTTCTTTTCCATGAGAAGTTCTGATGTTTCAGAGTTCATTTCTGTTGCAACTTGAACAACACAGACCTCAGTATGTGATTTCTTCAAGAATCTTAAACTTCTTGCCATTTCTTATTCTAATACTGTTGCTTTTATTTAATCTTGTTTGAGGTATTTATTATCTTTTCAATAATAATCCCCCTATCAGGTTCCCCACAGGCCTGAAAATTTGGGGGCAGGGGTGCGGTGCTGTCAAATATCCAGACCTGCAGGGAGCCCCAGGGGCCACATAACATGACCCAGCATGCTGGATCGGGTCAGCAGGGAGGTGTAGGGCCCAATCACGGCATGCAGGGTCAGGCACAGCCAGGTAGCATGGGGCTCGATCCCAGCATGCAGGGGCTGGGTGAAGGTGGCACAGGTTTTCATCCCTGAGTATGGGTTGGATGGAGGCACTGGAGGACTCTATCCTGGCCTGGGGGCCCAATCCAGCCCACACCACAGCCCCATGCCGCTCATCTGGCCCGCAGGCCCAAGAGGTTGAGCACCACTGTTCTAGAGCATAGAAACTGGGTTTCTACTGTTTCTCTTCCAGCCTTATTTTCTAGTCTTTGCATTATATACGGTTACCATATTTCCAAGAGGACACCTGTTGGGGGTGGGGGGGTTAATATGACTGGGGGGGGGCAGGAATATGAAACTACCCTACCCCTGCCCCTCACTCCCAAACCACAGAGCCCCCCCCCAGCCCTGCCACTGGCCCTCACTCCCGACCCACAGACCCCTGGCCGTGCCACTGCCCCTCACTCCCGACCCACAGTATCCCCCGCCCCAAATCTGTGCTGATGCCCCTCACTCCAAATCCAGAGTCCCCTGGGAACTACCTGTGCCCTGCGCTCCAGACCCACAGTCCCTCACCCCTCCTGGTGCCTCTCACCCCCAAGCCACACAGACGCACGTGGTCCCCACTGTCTCCAGTTTTCCTCCCCGCAGCTCCTAGAAGCTCCTTGCTAGGGCAAGCTGGAAAGTGCTGGGAAAAAAATTCAATGATGAGCAAAGCAAAATCCCAGACATCTGATGATATTTTAAAAAACTGCCCGGATAGAGATTGGAGGACCCAAGAAGAGGACATATCCAGAAAATCCTACACGTATGGTGACCCTGCATTACATATTTTTCCCTTAAACTGTGAGATTCGTGTCTAATATTCCAGATATGGTTACACCAGCTTGTAAAGCAACATGATCATTGCCTTTGCTTTACTGTAAATGAAACCCTCATATTTATTCATAACCAGAATGAACTCCCAGAAACAAGCTGCATCACAAACTTTGTTATGTTGCCATGCACCAACAACCTTTCTAATTTTTAATTCTCTGCTTTAATTCTCTGCTTAGAGCTGCCTCCGGTTTATATACATTTTATTTCTGTTCTTAAAATGTACATATTCAAATTGATTCTCATTTTATTTCAAACAGCACAATTGGCCACATTAATTTGTTCTGCAGAATATTTACTACCCCAACTTTATTGATTAAACTACCACAAGGCAAATATTATGCTACAACGTGAAATTTCTTTTCATTAGAAGACAGGAAAAAAGATATATATATACTGAGGCAAATAAGAACATATGAGCTTAGTTAGGGTTTGAAATATTCATGTGTAAATACAAACATTTCCCTGGCAGAGGGGAATCTCAGAACAACTTCTGCAGAATCCAAGTTTTCCTTTAATTGTTTACAGTTGTAAAGATAATCATCTGAATGTGAATCAAACATAAAACACTGGAGTCTATTTCCCAAGCCTGTGGTCCCTCTGGTTTGCTAAGCTGGAGCAGAATGAAAGACTAACAGTTTTTAATACAGCTATTAAGAACTTTGCAATGATTTGTCAGCAATGAAGCTGACGAGACTCATAGCAAATTTCACCCGGTTGCTTGTAAAAGCAAGTCAGCAGCTCATGTGGACACCAGGGGGATTCATACCAAAGGCCAACCCAAAACAGAACTTGAGGGAAATACATACTAGCCTCACAGCACCCAGAAGGCTCAAGGAGGGAAGGCTCAAGGAGGGGTGTTCTCGCTTCCCAGAAATCAGGTAGGTTGTGGGGTGTCCAAGATGCAGAATACTCTTTTTAATTTTACAGCAATCATAAAGTGCTACTGAGGCTTCAGACTAAATAGGTTCTGCCAGTCTGCACACTGAAGAAACTCTAGCAACGCCCTCCCCCTCCTTCTCCCACCCCCAATTCCTTGCAGCAATTCCTAACAGTAGCAGCATCTACACAGAATCCAAGCCCTCCTCTCCCCCTCCCCAAATCTCAATTTTCAGCTGGGAGGTAAAACGGAAAAGAAGCTGGGCTTAAATATCCCTGATAAATTCTCCTCCCCACCTCAACTTTTCTGTTATACTCCAATTAGTAGCTTTGATCCTCTGACTACTAGGTACCTGGTAAGTTTACTCAAGCTCTGAACTTTCAACAGTTATGCAAAGAAAATAGATCTTCAGTTTTAAATGTCTACCTGCTGTTCACAGGGAAAAATGCTGCTAGGAAAAGCACTTTTCACTCTTCTAATTAAGACTTAAATTACCATTTGGGCTACAAGACTCATTACTGTAATTAGATTTTTAATGTATATTAAACAACCATTAAAAGTCTATTTATAATTATAGGCCTGCTTTATAGCTTTGATGGAGAAGTAACTATAAAAAAGGAAAACAATGATAAATAAGAAATATCTCATTAAAGAAGAAGGGATTAAATTAGAACACACAAGTGGGACTTTTGTCCTTTTATACAAAAGTGAATGTCACTATCTAGGCCTACAGGGGTGTAGGTTGTAGGCCTAGATGTTAACAGAAAATTAGTAGAGAGAGGCTGAAGCAGATGCAGGATTTCATAAAGGAGAGTGCAAGGTCACCTACTAGTTCTGCAGGGGTGGCTGCACCTCCTGTTCTTAGCCCCCTCCCCACCCCCAGGGCAGTCAGATATTGCCACAGGAACAGCAATAGAGGAGTTTTTAAGGCCCCAAAGCAGGTAAGAATTTCCCTCCTTTCTCCTTCCTGCTCAGGGGCATGACTGCTCCCCACCTGCCGCTGTTCCAGCAAGAGGAGCTCCACAGCTCCTCCAGGCAGGCTCAACCAGGACAGCAGCAGCAAGCAGGATCCCCAACTCTGCATCCATTACCAGAATGGCAGGGAATACTGGGGAGATCAGGCTGGAAGGGAGAACCAGCTCGCTTGCTACTGCTGCTGTTGTTCCAGGTGGAGTCCAGCCCCTGAGCAGCCCAACTAGCATGGGACAGGAACATCCCTCACCCACAGGACAGCAAGAACAGTGGCAACAGCAGGCAAAGAAAGGGGGCATGGAAGGGAAGGGGACATGCTTCTGAGCATGGAGAAGAATGGAGCAGGAGGAATTATTACCTTCCCAAGGAACTTAAAAGTCCTTCGCTGCTGCTCCTACCATGTGGTCAGAAAGACAGATGCAGCCATGCCACACTCCCTCTGGATCCTTCCCTGGAGAGACGTAGTTAGCTACGTTAGTCTGAAGTTAAGCAGAAGGCAGGGAATATTTGTGCCTTACAGACTAACTCAGAGATGCTTAAGCCTTCATAAGCAACAGTTTACTTCATCAGATGCACCTGATGAAGTGAGCTGCTTCTTATGAAGGTTTATGCATCTCTGACTGAGTTGATCTGTAAAGTACAAGTCTACCCTGCCTTCTGGAAGATTAGTCCCAGACATGATATACCTGGAAGAGGTTGTATTATTCTTTTTTTCAAAAAATTATGTTGGAATAGAAACTCAAGCAACTGATAATGAGAACTTCAATCTGAAGACATCTTCCAGTTGTCTAGTACAGCAGTGATCAGACATCATTTTCATTCACTGATTTATGGATGAATAGAACCATCAGGTAGCCACCTGCATATCCAGTGATCACAGCCTTTGAAATTTTATTCAGTTAGCTCTATATTAAGACCAATGGCTTACATCTGGCTAGCACACATCTTCCCAAAAGGGATCCTTTGATTTGACAATGTAAAAGATAAAGAAACCACTACTTCCACTGATAATATGTGCTACTGTCACCAAATCAAAAATTTGGTTTTATTACCATCTGGTAACTGCTGGGGAAGGACAATCCAAATACTTTTCATAAAGACCCCAAGTGGACCTACATATGCATCCAAAACCACCGTGATAGCCACGTCACTGACAACCACAGCAGCAAATGTAGTCAGCCACTGAATGACCAGAGACTAGAACTGATTCTGTTAAACCAGCATTGAGGCATATTGCCAAAATAGCAGGCACATCTGTGTTGTTATTGTTTTGCAGACAGCATTCTGTCTCAAGAGCTTTTCAGAAGCATTGAAATTTGCATGAAAAAAATGTAATAGGGGAAAAAAATAATTTTAAAAAATGAGTTTATCACCTCAACAATTCAACCAGAAGACAAATACCTATGTTTGAGTAACTAAAGAACCAAACAATGCTTGAAAGCTAAAAACAACAACCACCCTTATATAGCACTCTGCCACTTGGCTGTAAAGATAGAAGGAGGATTTCTTCAGCCATGACACCAAAGTCCTAGGGCACCTATACATGTGCCCAACACCTACTCCAATGTGTGCTAATTAGCACACTCCAGCAGCCTCAGCATCATGTGTATTCAGTGTCCCCATGCTTCAAAATGGCAGCGGGGGCATTTTAACAAAAGCTCAGCAAATGAGCTTTACTTAAAAGGCCCCCAGCACCATTTTGAAGCATGGGACGCTAAATACACAAGACACCACAGGCACTTTAATTATAGTGACTCCAAAGAGCTGCTCTAGTTAAAGTGCACACCCCTGCCCCCGCCCTGGAGTATGTGTAAAGATGCCCCTAGGAAGTAAGACTATTGGAATGGCTAGTCTCCAGTTCTTTGGGCTGCTGTTACTAAATCTTTTTCTTTTTCTGGAGGAAGAGGGGGATTTCCAGAGCTCTGTCTTTTCACGATAATTCTGAAAGGTAAGGGGAGAAGACTAGTTGGGCCATTACGCCCTGACATTCTTGTTTTGGCAGGGGAGATAGAGTATTAGTGAGAGAAACTCCTTATGCTCTCATGGTCTGTAATACATTACTGCTGTTCCTTTCTTGTCTGTTTTAGGTCATAATTCTGTAAAAACGTACACCTCTGTTTTATTTTAAATCATATAAATAATCCCACTGACTTCTAGGACTCAGATGACTTCAAAGACAGGGAGATGCTTTCAGTTAAGCATGTACAGATTTGTAGTAAATGAGAGCCTTGGAATATAAGCTCTTCATGGAAGAGGCCATATCTTATTCTGACTCATTAATAGGCTTGGCAGGATTCAATTTTTATTGCTAAACATAGATAAACATCAATTTCACCTAACACTCACAGACCAACGAACAAATATTTTCATCAGTTATAATCAAAATTCACAGAAAGAGGACATAAGAAAAAATAGTCTGGAAGGGGGGATAAGGAAATCCAGGAGAGGGGGTGCTGCACGCACACACACGCACGGACGGGGTGGAGGGAGCCCTGGCTGCAACACCCGCATACTGCTCTTCTGGTAGCGGCCTGGGTAGCTGCTTCAGGAGCTGGGGACCATGCTCGGAAGGTGGGGTTGGTCAAATGTCAGCTGCTAGTGACAGAGCCTAGAAGGTGGGCCTAGAAGAGGGGCAGGGTTGGCAGCCGAGAGGTCGGTGCTGTTGCCCGCTCACTCAGCCCAGGTCCCAGCCAGGGATCAGGTGCCAAATACACTCCAAGCCTGGACCCTGTCCTGGCACTCCTCTGTGAGAGTGAAGGCTCCAGCCTGGTATGAATATACTACCAAATGAACAGAAAGTATGCTTACTGATGTATGGATATTTACTTTATATATTTTGATATGTGATTGTATAAAGCTTTTAACAGTATTCTGTCATTACTAAACTGGCTGCCCCCACACCCTTAATTTCATGTAATCCTGAAAATTTAAATTGATAAAAATCAAAATAAATGCTTAAAATAACCATCAATTTTATCCGTTGAAATTATTCAAAAATAAAACTCGAATCCTGCAAGCACACTCATAAAGCACCATCTTGAAATGAATTTTACAAAAGCTTTAAACAACAGGGGTGAGAAAGGGAGACACATCCTAACCCCCACTTACTCTTTTTATCTAAAAATAAACAAGTTAAAAAGAATCCTAGGATGAGTCAGCAGAAGCCACACCAGCATCTTTTTTTAAAATGAGAGCTCAGTGGATGAAGGACATCTTCCATGTGTTTAACATCAGTGGTTCAAACTGCAGAAAGCAATGCTGACATTAAAGCAAGAAAACTTGTAGTCAGGATTCTTAGACTATTTTCTCATCTTTGCCACAGACTTACATGACCTTGAGCACATCATTTAACCTCTTTATGGTCTATGCATTAAGAGTCTATATGCAGCAGCATTTATAAAACTGCTTCTTGCCTCTCTTACTACATTGATAAAAGGGTGTGTCCTGTGCTACTGCTACTCACACCCCACATATTCCACAGTCCCACAGCATAAGAATTTGCTATGAAAACCTCCTCTTGTCACAGAAACATTGTTAAGATTCCTTAATTTTCTGCGCTTAAGGTTGGAAACATCTGGAAAACATGAACAGAGACCAAACCAAAGCAGCGATGGCTGCTCAGGTCCTCAGACCCCTTGTTCAACACCAGCCTGACAAGGGAGACTCTACTGATTATAATGTAGTAAGTCTGAAACTTAAGTTGGGCAAGTTAAATATGCCACTGGCTAGTTATTTTAGTGTGTCTGATTATGTGTTAAGAAAGCACTTTTCACACAATCCCAAACTGCTTCCTTTTCCTTCCCAGGAGCTAAAACCTTTGATTATTGACTGCCTATGCCAACAATTCTCAAACAGGGTTTCAGGGCAGCCTGAGGTGCCACAAGATCTTTTGAAGGGTGCTGTGAGGTGTGAGGAGATAAGCAAATAAACTAAGCAGGCAAATGCAGGCTCAGGCTTGTCCCTGCCTGGACAACCCTTCATCCCCACTGCCAGGCCCCTCTGCAAGAGAGCAAGCACCGTGTTCTATGAATTCGTTTCTAAAATGGGCTGCCACTCAATTCACAAAAGTTATGAAGAGGCCTTGAGTCCAAGGGGTGGTTTGAGTCCAAACAGATTGAAAGGCACTGGTCTAGCGCTAACCTGCAGCAGAACATGTTACCAACCATCTGTGTGGCCGCAGCACCGAAGGAACCCAACTCAACATGGGACAAACTGATGATGTCAATCCAAAAGGAACATGGCGTGAGACAAGACAGGCCCAGAGACCAGCAAGGTGGCATGGATCTGTGCTGTAAGTGAGAGCCTCCGTTTTAAGCTAGACGGTTTGGAGCTAGGATGTTCTCAGTGGTGGCAGATCACAGAAAAAAGAGCAACGGTCTAAAGCTGCAGCAAGGGAAGTCTAGGTTAGATATTAGGAGCTATTCTCAGTAGGAGGATAGTAAAGCATGGGAACAGGTTACCCAAAGAGGTGGTGGAAGCTCCATCCTTGGAGGTTTTCAAAACCCAGCTAGACAAAGCTTTGGCTGGGATGATCTAGTTGGGGCTGGCTCTGTTTTGAGCAGGGGGTTGGACTAGATGCCCCTGAGGTCTCTTTTAGCACTCACGTCCTGTTTCTGAGCAGGCTGGCAGCCAGCAGGGGAGTTCGTTTCGGCCGAGGCCTTAAACTCTTCTAAACGTTTCTGTGCCAAGAAGAGGTTTCCAGAGCAGATCCTTCCCCCGTGGGACGATGCAGTACGCGAGCACAAGCCGCCCAAGCCAGGCCCTTCCCGCCGCGTGGTGAGAGCGGCTTCATAAACGCCGGCGCCGGGCAGAACGGGGACCCCGGCCCGCACCCGCTTGCGGCTGGAGCCAGCACTGCACCAAAGAGCAGCCACGCAAGGGCAGCCCCAGCGCCGCAGCCGCCTGGCGGGAGGCAAGGGTCGGGCCAGGCCAGCGGCGGCTGGGAAGGCCCGGCTCCCGCCCCGCCCCGCCCCGCTCAGGGGAGCGGAGCTGGTGCGGAACAACCGAGCCCCCGTCCCGTCGCGTCCCCCTGGCACTGACCTCTCGGCAGGGCGGCGGCGCGGGCCAGCAGCGCGCGGGCTGGGGGGCGCCGGGCCCCTGCCCGGAGCAAGCAGCGAGCAGTAACCAAGGGCGACGCGGGCGCCGCCATCTTGCCGGGTGCTGCGGGGGAAGGGGGTGATGCATGCTGGGACATGTAGTCCTGGCCCCGGGCGCGGGGGTGGGGCCTGGTGCTGCCCCGCCCGGGCCCTGCTGCTGCTGCTGCTGCTGCGGATCGTGAAAAGAAGTGGTGGCGGCGCCAAGGCCCGGCTTGAAACACGTGTTAGCAGCACAAACACGGCGTGACTGAGCCCCGCTCTCCCTCAACCCCCACCATGTAGGGCCCGCCCTCCTGCCCTGCTTTAGCGTTGCCCACCCCACCCTCCAGGTTTGCTCTGGGGGTCTCGGGGAATTAGATGGACATCTCTGGACGATTGCTGAGAGTCACGCAGAAGATAAATGATAGGGCATTCATTCAAATAAATATTAAATGTTGAATCCGATTTATACTGTAGTCCCATGGGTTGTTTAAATGTAATAGTCATGTGCATTTCCTTCCCGACTTAAAAGTCTGTGCACCATAATTAATGTCATTATGTCATGTGATGAAACCTCCCAGAATAGATGTAAACAGAGTTAGCAACCCTGCCCGTTACAGACCCCCACCATGTCGCCAGCCCCTGCCTTACAGAGTCCTCCCCCCCATAGAGCCCCCCCCCGCCCCTCCCCGCAACGCCCAACCTGCTCCGCATCAAATATTAGAGCAAGGGCAATGCCCCAGTGCAGGTGCAGAAGAGTTGAAGGGCGTCATCTGAGACCCTGTGACACCCCGTGGCATTGCAAAGTCCCCGCCGTCTCAGCAGGA